TTTTTTTAAACTTGCCTGAGTAAAAAAAAACCTTAGAAATTGAGGTGAAAAACATAAGAAAAGAAAGGGTAAGAATCGTCAATTCTGTAAAATGTCTCCTACATGAATCGGGGAACCATGAGTTAGACATAATTGTAATAAGCTTTTAATGCAAAAGAATGTTGTTATTCTTGGTAAATAGTGACAAATAACAAAATATTGGTTGATATAACAAAGTTAATATAATCTTTTTAATTTTACACACAGAACAACTTATTTCCTTGAGTAAAACAATAGGTTTCAAATAAATTTAAGTTTTTTACTACTGTATTCTGACGTTCAATGAATGAGACATGCGTCATACAGTCGTAGAACATACATTCTTCTTACACAATTACTGAAGAACATGTAGATAGTAGCCTTGTCCAATAGGTGGATGTTTCAGACAAGGTCTCTCAGGTCATGCATTGTTATGTTCTTAGGAAGTTATCAGACAGATCGCTCAGAATACGTCGGAAAAGCCAGTCGCGAGGTTTAACAAATCAGAACTAGTCAATATGATACTGCCGTGTTCTTGGGAAGCTACCGGTTCCAAATGTACCAATGCACTATTGGTAGATTTGGAACCGGTAAAATGATCTTGGAGCCGCATGAAACACGATCTTGTTACGTTATTACGCCAGAGTTTTGTGATGATCCAATGTCAGTGTCGCAGTGCTGACGTGTACGTGTATGTATGTGTGTATGCGACAACCTGCTCACGATGTGACATCCTATCAGACGACCTAGGGTAGTGGAAAGTTCCGGCTTTTGACTAAACTCAGCGATCCCCACATCACGACCTCGACCACTTTCCACATGTCTCCTGGCTTAACGTGACTTACTCTACAGTACATGACTATGGGTGCGTTCTGGGGAGGTAACTGGGGATTAGATTTCACCTGGTGTAAGTGTTCTTGTATTCTAAATTAGTGTTGTCAATGCTGTTTAGGAATTTTTATAACAGGTAAAATATCATATTACATCATGCACAGAAGCTTAATTCAAACCCAGTTTACAGGCATCTATACGCAGTTACGGGAAACTGAATTTAACTATTTAGTTAGGCGTATATAACAAGTTATTGTTACTAAGGCGTGGTGTAAAAATTAAATATTTTGGAACAAAACCTTTTTCTATACTATATAACAAGTGGTGTTTGCTCGGTAGTGAGTTGACGCCGTCTTCGAGGTTCGTATTTTGCCAAGGATATTTTATTACATTTTGCATCGAGAGGGCGACGCGACAACGCACTTCGAATAACACAGTGTCATCTACCGGTGTGATTTGTTCCTGTTCTGGTTTCCTTTGGTTCATGAACACGAAATATTTTAGTTGACGTTAAGTTATTGTAGCCTGTTTTCAAAAGTAAGATGGGTGAAAATGTTAATATAACAAGTAACAGGTTAAAAATACATACAGTAGTAACGTAGCTTCGGGCCGAAAAAAAACACGATCATTTAGAGGATTCAAATAGTTTTCGGTCTATTGACAGGATATAAAATATGTAATGTCTAAATGAAGATATTACATAAACATAATGAGCCACAGAGAAAGTTTAGACGTCCACAAAACAAATTCACAGTTGCACGTAGTGCACGAACCCGGCCACTTTCCATTTCAACTGCGTCGTGAGCACCGAGAGCATAATGCTGAACCCCGTGGATGTCCCCAACTGATACCATCAACTACCGGCACTTGTGGGAACATGCGACCAATTAAGGAGCAACAAGCAACTCCGAGGAACACAATGCATGCCCTAGCATGATTACCATATAGTACAGAAATGGAAACCAAATAGTAGGTAAAAGGGTATTTTGTAAAAATGTGCGTGTAAGCAAAACAAAGCGTAAAATGTAATAAATTAGTGCAAAAGTAATTAATAGTTCATTCTGATAGCCCCTGGACTACGTATAAATGATTTTATAGGCTTAACTCCATCAGAAATCAAAAATTGCGTCTACTTCAAATATTGTTCAAAGATTACATGTTTCGTTGCAATACAACATCATGGGAGCTTTACGCCAAAAACATCGAAATTTACACATACAGTAGATACACACGACACGGGAAACGGAACATAATATAAACACGTAATCCACACGTAGTAAGCCTATAAAGTCAAAGTAATTAAACCATCTTAAACTAGTTTTACTAGTCTCCAAAATCAGATTTATCAGACTTCTCGAACAACCTACGTCAACCTAAAGATTCATACAACGGACGAAAGGACAAACCGGTTATGGTAAAGTGTAACTGTTACAAAGCACTTCGTGATTCAATAGTTAAAGACAACTTTGCGTAACAACATTGTTGTACCACTTTGAATGTTGATCCCAATAACTCGATTGCATGTTTAGATCGCCCTACATCTCCCCCGAGATCGCCTCACGCTACGCATCCTTCCGCACGCGATGAACTGCTCAATGCTCAATGCTCAATATTGTACAATACCAAGATTAAAATGGCACCAAGATATAAGGAAACGAAACGAAAAGCTAATCTTATCTATCAATATGTCGGTTACTTGTGCTGAGTGAATTAATCCACATATGTAAATATTCGGTAAATTATGGTAGTGATGCTAACATACGTCAGTGGTAAAGATGACGTGTTGTTTCAATATTTTCAAGAACTTTATGAACGTAGTTTATGTCATAGAATAATCAATAGTATTAATATTGTAGAATGTTTGGTATATCAACTATGTATCCTAGAATATACTTCACACAGAGATTAAACAAAACTCAGAGTGTTAAGGAAAAATTGCCCAAAACAAGTTAAATTAAATGTTTGGAACGTATTAAAAAATATGTTTAGTTACAAAATACTACATAACGTAAACACGATGTCAGCGAGATGCCCTGTTAGTTCACTCATGTAGTAGTATGTTTAGTATGTTTTCTGTGCTCATGTACCTTCACCGCATGACGTCATCCCAGGTCAAACATTGCTTAACGTTCATTAACCAACTACATTCGGAGCTTCGCATAGAAATTTCTAAAACACATAATCATCCCATTCCCGTACACTACCATACCGGGGCCTGTACTTTCACTGCCGTCGATGGCCATCTAAGCACTGATCAATATGCTGTTTTCTAGTCTCTTGTCTCTTCTAAGTGCACACCTGGATTGATTTCCATTTCAAATCAAAGAAAGTCATATAGTGGATTCAGTGACCTCTGAACTGTAGTCATAGTGGGACACTATCGTCAAGATCTTTTACAAGTGGAAGTTTAGGGGCTTACTCCTGCATAAGTACAACAGCCCCTGTTCATATTTTTGTAAAGAATTCTGATGGGAAAAGTATAAAGGTTTACCTTAGCTATTGTTACATTGCTAAATTAACATACATTCATTTAAATAAAGAAAGGCGTTTAAAATTATGCTACCTAAATTTTAGAGAGAGTTTTACTATAGCAGATTACGTAATTTATAAATTTGTACCTTCACTTGGAGCTGAGTCAACAATATAGCTTTTTGCGTTAAATATTTCATAGTAGAAAGCTTTCCATATGCGGAGTTAATGTTTTATGTTGTTGCATGGTAAAATCTTCATAGATTTATTACTTGATTGATTTATGCATGTGGTTAGAGTATGAAATGGGTTAGTAATTAAATCGCAATAAATATGTGGCAAATTTGTGGTGGGATATTGAAAATGTTGTTACACTGTTCCGTATGGACGTATGTGAATAAGCTAAGGTTTGATTTTAACCATTTTATCCTTTCCAAAGTAGTTGTATTGACAAAATTCAAACAATTTCACAAAGCAAGAACCATAAATTGACCTGAAACTACTAGTTTGCATAAGGAATAATCAGACTAAAGTTACAACGAAAAATAGATAAAAGTATAATTGGCAAATTCTCTGTCTTTATAATTTGAAGGCTCAAAGATGGAAAGGTGTTTGATTATCATGGTCAGAAGACGAATCCGAAAGTGCGTAGTGATGGTTATTAAATCACTATAAAGGTCATGACCTTGACCACGGCGACCTTGTGACACTGGGACAACGGGACACCCACCTACTACACGTCCTGTCTCCTGTCCCACTAGAGACTCTGCCAACAACTGTGAATTCTGCACAAGGTTCCTGACCTCAGTACCTACAGATACAGCAATAGACCCGAACTGCATCAGAATGAAGACCTACTACCATGAGGTGGACTAAAATATTCAACAGCCATTATCCTATGACGCCAACTATCATATAAACATGATCACACAATTTTTTTTATTACTATACTAAGTAAATATTAAACGTTTAAGAAATAAAATATTAACGACTCTAAAAAAGGCTTTCCCGTTGTTTTTAAGATAAACATTTTTTATAATACATTTATTGACCAAATATATCAATAACTATAAGACAGCGAATCATGCCAAATGAGGTGATATGACCTGTATCAAATATATAAGTTTGAAAAGGGACTCATATCCGAATCATGTCAATTCTACATTAGTTTTTTGTGTAACTAGTGGGGTGAAAAGGGAAATTTGAGCTCGTGTTACACAAATAACTATTTCCTACAGTTGTTATAGAGCATATAGAAATAATTAGTCTTTCAAACACTGTACAACACGTTTTAAATCCAAGCGTTGAACGAAATGGGAAACATTGCAAAGTGTTGCCAACCTATTTCCAAGCGTACACGAATTACGTGCATAATCACAGCACGCTTTTTTGTGTTGTTTGGTTGGAAAACTGGTGTGCGACAAAGTAAAAACTGTGCGATAAGTAAAATACCCCTCCCGCAGCAATCCTGCAGACTAAGCGAATTTCAACTCGTCTGATTACATATTTACTAAAAATATTTCCACAAATAAGACATATTTATTCCTTATTTAAATACCATTAGATTTAACGAGAGCTTAGGTTTACTGCAACGGGGAAGGTAAAAAGTGTTTCTAGACCGTACGTTAATAGTATATTTGTTCAAAGAAGTGTTAGGTTTGTTTGATAGTAAGTGTACTGACCTGTAGACGCTCTCGTCGTAGTACAGCAGTATCCTGAGTGGTTGGTCCAGGCTGCGTTTCCTCATCACATGCGCCGGCTCTATGTGCACTCCATGGATCACCTGACAACACAACAACTCTGTTATAACATCAACACTACACTCAGCAGTCTAGCAATTACTGCAGTACGAGTCTATTGTATAGTACAACACCATCAACACCATCGCAACACAAGTGGCATTCCGTATATTGTCTTACTTATCGCTAGCACAATAGCCTTGCTGATATTATACAATACATTCTTATAGTCGCTTATATTTATATTTTTGAGATTCAACCTCGTAGACAAGTTAACACCAAGAAGCGAAGAATAGGTGTCCGTAAGTGTGTAGGCGTTGATCGTTGTATGTGCATAATTTGAAATTATATATAGAGACATCTACGCGTCTGCTGTAACTTCTTTGGTGTGATCACTATTCGTAATACTGAATCTGTTTATTCGTAAACATAACTAAGTGTCCATACTAATAATAATATTTGAGTAAAATTTTTAAAATTACACATAATTTTTGGTAACTTTGAGTTTAAATCATAATTATTGTACACTGATTATCTAAGGACTAATAATCTAAGTAATCTGTGGATCTAACTACTGGATTCTCAAGGATCTTCTGTATCCTATAAATTTATCTCAATCGATGACGTAACCAACATGGCGTCACACTCATATTCTTTTTGCAATCCGAAACGTTTGCAGTTTGATGACGACCATTACAATGTCACATAAACACTACCGGGTTCAAGTGTGTATAAATTACACAACGTGAAGATGCTGACTCATCTCTCAACCACTGGAGGTCGTAGTAATTGAGGAAATCAACAAAAGGTACGTGAATTCAACAGAGAAGGACGATGAGATCATAGATGTATTATCTTCGTGGGAAATACTTAACGAAATCATAATCTAACAACGAAATATTAAAGAATACACAGTTTGCAACAGATAAAACCATAAACGAGTTACAGTTTATAGGACTAAAATATTATAAAGAGAATTAATTAATCGCAACAACAAATTTCTTTATTCAATATTTAGGTGGATTTTCGAGCCGTGCAAGAGCAAAATTACCAACGTTAGTGCTAATACAGTTTACAGAGATGAGCTGTTTACTAATGTGCAGATCGTATTAATAATTGTACTGAATATTCATCAATGAAGCAATATCGCTTGTGAACAGATACAGATAAATTGTACCAACAATACGTCGTATCTGTATCCGCTAGTGACATGAGAGTGACACATTAGAATTACAGATAGACAGCGACACGGACCACTATCTGCCGCTGGTTGTATGGGTCTTGTTGACGACAACGACATGTCTACAGAGAACTGTTCGACAACCTCAACTTGACGAAGTCTAAAACGTAACTCATTTGACTATCGAGATATTTGACTAAAAACAAGATTCAGGTTATTATTGTTATACCTTCGCTTTGTGTCGTTAAACATGAGTTTTTCGTAGTTCTTAAGGTGTTAGAGGTGGCTTTCGTAGCGAAAAGAATTTACCCTTTCTAGTTTTCCCAACTGTGGCTGTGGTTAGTTCGAAAAAAATGGTAAATCTTTATTTGAATGAATGTTGTTCTAATTCGTCAACTAAATGATGATTTATGACACTAAGGTAGGACGTAAATGTTTCCAGATAGAGAAATCTAATAATTACATTTACAAATCAAAATTCCACGGCTGCTTTCAACTTGATATGAAATTAGCTGTAGAAAAAGGTGGACAAAAACAAAGGAAGAATGTTGTTCGTGAGTTGTACCACAGAAAACATAGTAGTATGTTTTCTGTGGTTGTACATCCGGGTTACAAAAGCTTAAGTGACATTTTAATCCCAGTAATTTGAGTAAACTTAAAATTAGCACAATATAAGTCTTCTTTCTGTAGAAATTTATTCATTTATTCAACAAAGACGTTTTTTTGTACAGTTATACCAGTTTGAGTGAGAATTTTCGGTTATAAATCAATAATTGGTGGTTTGTATAATGCTGATGGACTTTTGAATAAGAAATTTTACGTTAGTTTAAAGGCTGCAACAGTAAATCAATATTTCTGATTGAATTTTCCGTTAAATGAAGGGAATAAAGTTGTTTATCACTTCATCAAATACTGCGACAACGCAATTTACTTACAAATTGAGTAAGGACGGGTCTTTAGAATCTTACGCGTATTGTTGTCCCAGATATCACACTGTACAATCACTACTATTAAATTATATTTCCACGAATTTCTATGTATTTACGAAAACATTGTTTTGTTTAACATATAGCAATAATAGGCTGAAGAATCCGGAATAGATGAATAATAAAGTTGAAGGTTTAGCTGTCGAAGGTCGAGACAACACAAGACAATACAAGCCGCAATCATGTGTGATTAGTAAGACAAGGTGTAAGGTGCGAGATGTGAGGATGACAATGACCTTGAAACTAAACGTCACACACACTTCCTAAACATACGTCACTGACCCAATTTGACAGTTTAATAAATTTAATGTTTATTGAATTTTAGATCTTCTTGAAAACGAATAAGTTTATTTTTGGCAACTGGAAATATCTAATCTGAGTTTGATTAGCTATCCAGCTAAGTCGGACTATACGGTCAACCAAGTTCGGTAAAAACACGATTTTAAAACCGATAATATTTATTGTTCAGAGTATGTTTCCTTATTGCGTTTCCCTGATATACTGTAGTTAGAAAAGTCATAATAAATTAATTGGTTTTGACTTAGGAATAGATACTTAAATCCTATAAGCTTATATCAACTCAACCATACAAAGTGGTGTGACGGAACATTTGGTTGATGTTGGAGTAAATTGAGATATTATCCACAACTGATATGCTATTAACTACCTATATTATTATTTTTAATTCTTAGATAAGGCACTATACATTCAGTACCTACACAAAATTAATCTTGACCGGGTCATCCAATATTACGTGGTAACTGTGACATAGCATAACATAATGTTGCGGGCTTAGCAGGTTCTTTACAAATAAAACTTGGCGATTTTATAATAACTATTTATTTACACTAATTATTCTATATTTACAGATATTAGAATTACCTAACACCTACCTAACCCTATCTAAACCTAGCTAAAGCCTATTCTAATTTACAATGTTTCTACTTACAGCTAGCCTCTACAGGATTTATCACTTCTGTTACAACACTGTCACTACACTGTCACTAGAGTCACTACACTGTTACTCTCACTGTCACTACACTGTCACTGCCACTAGCACTAGCACTGGTCACCGACACGCGCTTGCTGCGACGATTCTCGGAAGGCTCAACTCAACTCAACTGCCGTGTGCTGGAAGACGGTCCCTTTTATAAGTTTGTCGTGGAACATTCTAGAGTGGAGAGTTCGAGCATCCGTTGTTTACAAACCGGCGTAGAAGTAGAAGGTTCTAGGGCCCCTATTGAGGTAGTCCGTTGACATAGGTCTTTTGTCTATCAGTGGTGCGTTCTGAGAAACCCGTGTAAACAAACAACCCTTTGTGACGGCGCCTGGCTATTGTTGCGCGGGGCTCCTGACTTGTAACAATAATAAAAATATAACATACATAAATTAAATATGAATATTAATATTTCAAAAGTTACACAATTTATAGAGAAAACTAACTTTTTGTGTAGCGTTCCTTTTATAAACACCAGCTTTAGAGACTTTAACATACACATACATTTAATTAAAACAATGTTATAATCGAATATTTAAAGTAAAACAGAAAACAAACCGTGAGCTTGTTATAATTTAATTATGAATTAAAATATTCTTCTTCCAAGCATAACTAAATACAGAGACCGATTTACACATTACAAAGTAGCCTTGAAATAAACCATAAAGAGTTGGTTGAATTACCACAGCACAGCGCCCTTTACTCGCGTAAAGACGAATCTAATTAAGGTCGATCAAACGTAATCAAACGAGCATTACGATTGCCAAATGACTGTCACTTAGGTAACAATCGCATCACATATAACAGTTTTCAAGGTAACTCGCCTTTGATACTCACGAGAGTTAACCCATTTTAACACCAACGAGTTTAAAAACATTTAATTAATACTTGTTCTGCTTGATATTATTTTTCATTTTTTTTTTCACAATATAAATATTAAGTCTCTTGGTGTCGAATGAAATTTTAAACGTTTGATCCGCTAAAAACATTCTTTAAACACAACAACCCGATAGGCGGGATTATAGTCGTGAAGTACTACATCTTCGGTCAAATATCTTCTCATTTTTATGTTGTCACTATTAAAACAGTTGTGTATGCAGTGTTATCTAATTAATTTTATCATGTAGTTAATTTAATACCCATGTATTGTTATACTAGGTAGGGTTAATACGGTTATACTAGAGTTATAATACCACTTCTTATTTACGAGTATAATAAAATAACTGTAGTATAACCGTATTAACCCTATTTAGTACAACAATACTACACGGATATTAAATTGACTACAGGATAGCATAAGATAACACTGCATACACCTTTTTTTAATAGTGACAACATAAAAACGAGAAGATATTTGCATAACTACTTGATATTTTACATAACCGAAGTACTGCACGACTTTAATCCCGTTTTTTTTTATCTAAGCAAATCTATGAAAACAAGATTTAAAAATTACCAAACTTAAACTCTGATATTACGATTTCAATTGCGGTTTCTTATCGTTTGCTAAATCACTGAAACAACTGAAGACGTATTTAAAGCTGTTTTCCTCGAACCCGACGGGCCGCGTGTGTCTACTTAAGTACCACACGTGTAGTCCGCATTAACATTCAATGTATACAGATTATAACCTATTTCTATGATGGGTATTTGTTCATATACTCGTAATAGATGAGGTCTAACTTTCTATCAACGATAATACTGTTTAGGAGATAACAGTTACCTTTTGAAAGTCAACTGGAACGTAAAACTCAAGAGAAAATGTTTACTAATTAACTAATTTATTGCAATACACTCTGCCTCAAGAACTTTGATCCCAATTGGAAGCGGTTTTAAAACAAGAACTTGAGAATTTAACAAAGGACAATCAACGGTAATTGG